GCTCCGCACGCTCGGGGCGAGAGTACCTCTGCACGCCCTTGGGGATGCCAGCCTTCTTGGTGAGCCTCTCGCTGCAGCAGTCCACCAGCCTCTTCAGGATGTACAGGCACTCGCGGAAGGTGGAGAAGAAGGGGTAGTGGCTGAGGACGCACAGGGAGGTCAGGGTGCTGTTGCGGCTCCTCTGGGCCGGCTTGGCGCAGCGCTTGCCCCGCGGGGACCTGTTGACGTCCGGGGTGGACTCGGCGCTGGGCGGCTGGAGGGAGGAGCCGCTCTCAGAGCTCTCGCTGCCCGCCTCGTCCGGGGCGGCGGGGGCGGCGGAGGCGGGGGGCGCCTTGGCCTTCTCCCCCCGTCCGCGGTGGCCCTCGGGCCGGTCGGGCTTGCCCGGGCGCTTCTGGAAGGAGCGGTAGAAGTTGACGCAGATGCCGTAGCGCACCACGCCGGTGTCCTTGTCGGTGAGCGTGAAGACGAAGGAGGTGTCGTCCCGCAGGCTCATGCGCCTCTGGCGCGCGCTCAGGCAGCCCTCCGGCTGGCAGAAGAACACCACGTCCGGGGGCAGAGGGAAGTCGGCGTGGTCCTCCAGGGGGTAGCGCCGCAGCAGCTCCGGGGTCTGGGCCACGCTGTCGCTGCTCGGCTGCCTGCGGGGGGGGGGGGATGCCCGGTCAGGGTTAAGACACTTGAAGGAATCGGCAATCCATGAGGGATAAACAGGAGTTACATCTTTCAACCCAATCAGATGGAACAAGGACGATTCCTAAAGCAGCTGTCTCTAAACCTGGTCCCAGTCAGCCTCAGTTCAGCGAGTCCAGGGGTCTCTAAACCCAGTCCAGGACAGCCCCAGTCCAGGGGTCTCTAAACCTGGTCCAGGACAGCCCCAGTCCAGGGGTCTCTAAACCTGGTCCAGGACAGCCCCAGTCCAGCGGTCTCTAAACCTGGTCCAGGACAGCCCCAGTCCAGCGGTCTCTAAACCTGGTCCAAGACAGCTCCAGTCCAGGGGTCTCTAAACCTGGTCCTAGAAAACGCGAAGCTGACTCTAGGTGATCAGAGCCCATGTTCGCCTGGTAAAAGGAAGCACAAGCGAGTGTCTACTGTAGTATACTGTTACTCACCTGGCTCCGACCACCACCAGGTAGTCCAGTAAGCGAGGGCAGGGTTTCCTTTTCTCCATTTTTAAATCAGTCCCCCTTTAAGCCATCGCAGCCCTGATGGAGGAACAGATCACTGGCCAACGTCGTACCGATTCCCGGGGAGAACCTCAGGCGTGCGGAGCGGGGCGCAGCGGGCCGAGGGGAAGCATCGCGCAAGTGCGCTGGGCAGGGCAGGAGCAGCCCAAAAACACAAGTGTCCAGATCTGAAACACAAAGACACCGCACACAAAATCAGCCCAACACAATACACGACAGCAACGTGATCAGCGTGGTCCAGCTCTGTAAAAAACCTTTCTAGAAAATAAAGTGGGCCTACGATAAATGACAAAAGCAGAAAAGTTCAAGTTTCTCAATGGACAAAATACCAGATCTTTTACACTATAATACCCTTCACTACCAGTAAAAGAAATATGAGGTTTTATCATAATGCTGAAATATATAGCATTCATTTAATCCCACTCTTTGCATGTCATTCTTCTTGAATTCAAAAAAAGTTCCAAACAGAAGTGCATACATCACATACAGTGCCTTACAAAAGTATTCACGCCCTTTGGACTTTTTCACATTGTCGCCGTTTTCACAGGTGGACTCCCAACAAGACATTCTGTGACGTGGAGAAGAGAGCTGGTTACTTCAGAGGGCATTTAGGTGTGTGTCAAAGCAAAGGGGTGAATACCTATGCATTCAATTCTTTTCTGTTTTTTATTTTTAATTTTGTAAAATGTCTGGATTTCCCCCCCCCCCACTTTGACATCATTGAGTACTATGTGTTGATGAGCGGCAGAACGTCTTAGCTCACAACATCATGGCTCCATGCTGTAACGCAATAAAATGAGAAGGGGAGGTGAAAAGTTTTGCAAGGCACTGCATCATTCAGGCTGCTCTGTCATGCATTGAAAAGCACTACCAATGTGTTAAGGTTAATAGTGCTGTATACACACTGAGCAGCTCCCTGAAATTCCAGGCTAAGGGCTTGGAGATGTCCGGAGAGGAGAGAGCGGAGTGGTGGCGCTGTGGCTCAGGATCTGCGCCTGTGGCTGGAAGGTTGCCGGATTGAATCCCACAGCCGGCAGAGGAATCCTACTCCGTTGGACCCCTGAGCAAGGTCCTTAACCCCAGCTGCTTCAGGGGCGCTGTATAAATGGCTGACCCTGCGCTCTGACCCCAAGCTTCTCTCCCTGTCTGTGTGTCTCATGGAGAGCAAGCTGGGGTCTGCGAAAAGACAAATTCCTCATACAAGAAATTGTATAGGGCCAATAAAGCAATCTTGTCTTGTCCGACAGCCTTTAATTGTGAAGCAGCACTATCGCATGGGGAACTCGTGCAGCTCGACAGCTCCTGTTGCCCCGGCCATGCCGTTCTCACAGGCGGGATCGCGCACAACTGGGCTGCAGTCCTGTCAAGAGTGTGCCTCTTCTGCACCCTCTTACTTCCAAGACTGACCCAGATCAAGAGGCCACTCCTTCCTCCTTCACTGCTGTAAAAGTCTCACACTTCCTGTCTTCTGTGTTTCGGCAGCTATGAGATACAAAAACTCATATCACAATACCAAGCCACACAACACACAACCCCTAAAGTCTTGCAGATATTCTAGACAGACGGCCCTTCCTAAGCAACCCAGGCCCCATCATGAGCAACCTAAACAAAATGAACAGATTTGAACCCAGGGCCCTGTATCTTCAAAGTGACAGACTGGGTCCTGAGCCCCAGAGTGCCACACACAAATAACTCTTCTGCGAAAATGGGTTTATCTGAACCTCATCATCCTACAGCCACAGCAACCTGCACATAATTGCCCAAAGCTCTGCAGGAAGCACCTCCACTCACAGAGTTCGGCAGTTCTGTTCATTATCACCGCCCTGAGACTGCGAGACTGGCCCTGCAATCCTGCCTATGTATTAACTGGGCTGCTAGACTTCCAGCTGCACAAAGCACAGATCAATGCAAACGTGCCTCAAAGTGTCCAGGGATAATGCAGTTACAGTCCAATAATGAACACAGGGGACAACGATTCAGACTGCGCTTATCATAGGAACCTGGAAAAACCATTACTGTGACCTGGATGGAAAAAGTATAAAAGAAACTCAACCTGAAGGCTGGAGCTCAATAACCCATATTTGGTAACTTGGGGGGCTCCTCCATGCCAAATACAACACCAGGGAAAAAGGTCCCCGTCTGTGTGTGTGTGTGTGTTGCCAAGGACTGGTGTCCTGAGCTGTGTGCGGTCTCAGCTCGCACCCTGTGTTTCTAGGTCTGGATTTGGGTTCAGGCCTCCTGAACCAGGAGCAAGTGGCTTTCTGATGGTGAATGGATCTTTTCCTGAGTTTATTAAGCTGCCACTGCAGGGATCTAATGCAGGTTTCATCTGGACAGCAGGGACGTCAGCAGGAATTGGATCTTCAGTCCATTTTGTACAATTTTACATTCCGACTCGTCCGTTTACCACATGAAACTCTGCAGCATAATAAATGCACCTAGAGACTGAGGACTCTGGAGGTGAAATAGAATGGAAACCCGCTCTAGGTGAGTTTCAAAGTACTTGTTTAACTGGTGGTCTACTGATGGACTCTGGGTTCCCTGAAATTCCAGGCTAAGGGCTCGTAGATTTCCAGCAGAGATCAAGGAGTGAAGGACTGGTTTTGGCTTTGGAGTTGCGACTTCAAAATTCTTCAAAATGCAACTTGGATAATCATTTTTCATCTGCACAAAAAAAAAATGACTGAGATGCTTGGAAGTACAGTTACACACCAGAACCTTGCAGAGCAAATTTATAGCTTTTGCTACAGCGGAAGGTTTTTTTTTGTCAGTGCATACCACTCGTGACTAGTTCAGACTGGTTGGAGTACTTTAACAAGAGAAAAACAGAAGTTTTTTTTTTTTTTATCAATGGATAGAGCACAGGCATCAGCCTTACCAAGATCACATTGTCTCCCGTGACAATCTGCGGAAACGGGCCACGGGACAAGCCACTGGATCCACTCTTAAAATTCCCGTGCAAAACCCAGGTGGTTCCTCTCCTGCGGGAGCCCTGGGAGAGCCCAGGTGCAAGAGAGCTGCAGCCTGTGAGCCTCTTGCTCCTCAGACTTCATTAGCATGACAGTGGTTTTACCGCAGCTCACACAAGGAGCTCTCAGAGCCCAGTGGGGGCAGAACGAGCACCAGGCACACACCCCGCACAGACCCGCGCAGAGAGAAACAGCCCCAGCCAGCCATTCATGATCCAGTTCATCGTCGTTCTAGAACTGCGTCCAGGAGCTGTTATTTCACCACTTGCAGTCGAACACACGTCCAATGTTGTGGCGTAGGCATGATCTAATCACATGCCTGCCTCCTGAGAACAAGAGCCCCCTGTTGGTTCTCCACGAGGCCGGTGTCCTTGCGCATCCACGCTAGGAATACCGTGAGGCCTGACCATTGCTAGAATCTCTGCTCCAGGCCTGAGCACGTGACATCACCTCTTACAGTACACAGCCTCTGAAGCTCTTCATATACAGCACAGGTAAAAAAAAACTCCCGATTTCCCGATTTGCTATTGCAGTTCCTCTGGGTTTCCTTTGAAGGGCCTCTCTCAAGGGTATGGAAGCACTGTCCCCACCTGGGATTCTAACGCACAGCCTTCCAGTTCAGAGTCCCAGACTCTGACCACTGCCTCCCACTGCTGCTCATACGGTCTCAGACGCCCGACGCCTTGGCGGCGACGGTTCTCAGGCCGAACCAGCAAGTCACGAGTGGCTCTAGTGCAAACAAAAGGTGTTTGGGGAGTCGAGGGGGCAGAGCTCTAGCTTACTGCCAGATTTCGAGTTTGACCTTCACGGCCTCCTTTTCCCCTGGAACACAGATAAACACCCCCCCCGCCCACCCAGAGAAGAACGTAAAACACTAAGGGACACAATCCACACACCCCAGCCCTCTGAGACGACAGCTCCCTGCTTCAGCTTTCTGTTCAGAGGCTGAAACCCCACGGAGAGGGAGTGTGTGTGTGTGTGCGTAGACAAACAAAATCGAGCTCCATCAAAAGGAATACAGAAGGACAACTGGGAGCCAGAGGCTACAAATCCACACGAAAGAAGTCTGCTTCCAACATTTTTATCTTCCTGCAGGAACATCAGTTTCGGTCTAGAACCGAATTAATTTTATCAATAAAAATTAACAGCCACCGAATCGCCATTGAGAGATTTTAAAGATCTTAAATGACTTACCAGTGTAAATAATTACATTAGTTGGGCGCGTTAATATATCATCAAAAATAAAAGGCGCATTACTGTACAGCATGAAATAACACACCAGCAAATAGTTTTCTTCGAAAAATCATTAAAGTTCAGCAAAGAGCCCGTTAAAGCGCTGCTCTACACAAGACACTCAAGAGTTGTGTTCTCAGGAAGTATCGTGTTCTCTCATGAGAAACCGAAAGGGAAAATGTGGGAACTTCAAAGAGTTCTGTACAATCCATGCTTGACAGCCCAGACGACGGTGCGGTTTGTTTTCCGAGGGTTGTCAAAGATGCTGAGGACTGCCTGGTGGATGGTTTCACAGTGAGAATGGAGCGAGTGGAAGAGAGTCTCAGCTGAGACGCAGTTGTGACGAGCACACAAGCCTGGTACCCGCAGCCTGGTGGCTGGGATCCTTGCGGGTCGAGAGGATTTACGTGCGCAGAGCCCTGCAGGATATGAACTGTTTGCTCGAGAGGGAGGACTTCCGCAAGTGAAAGAGAGATCAAATAAATCCACCAGCAGAGGAACACAAGGCATTCGGTAAACAGTGGGACTGTTTCAACAGCTTCTGCAGAAGGATAAGTCTAAGTATTGCAAAAGTTACCGTATACTGCCTTAAACACGAGCATGATGTACTTCAAAGGATGAATTAAAGGCCTTCACAGCATGGTGCCAAAATGTAAACCTTAACCATCACCTCATTATGATGATGTTATTTTGACTGTTGAATATCTACAGCTGAAAGAGTGAAACTGCACTCAACAGCTGTCCTCCTAGGCTTCAAGTCCTTTCATCTGTTTTAATCCTTAAAACCCAAGCTTCAGAACATCACAAGGCAAAAAAACCTCTGCTGGATATTCATGCTCAGAAGGCAACTGGAGGATTGTGTGATGTTTCCAGCTTTAGGACATTGGGCTCATCCGCCCCGATCCGTTAAAAGAAGCTCAGAGATGTAATGGAGTCTTTACATTTAACACCATGCGGCGACCCTC